CACCTCCCCTCGTGACCCGGCAGCTGACGGATCTCGAACCCAGAGGGAGTGCCTGGTAGATTGGAACGGAACCCGCCTGGGAGCGCAGCGATCAGTAGAGTCGCCAGCACCCAGTAGTCGCGGAGAGCCTCAGCAACACGGTGCACGAGACGCGCGCACCCCAGCAACGCGGTGCGCGGGACCCGCCCATATATTTCCTTCTGTAGGGACCACTTAGGTCTGTCTTCTCCCCAGACATGCAAAAATGGTTTTTTTAAAAAAAAAAAAAAAAAAAGGCAGGACTGAATCTTGTTGAGGACCTTCAGAAGCCCTGAAAGGGGGCAAAGACCAACCTGAACCCTTTGAAGAAAGACTCCACACATTTTTATAACCAGAAACTTAGTTTATTTTGAATAACCCACTCAACTTTGAGCAGATGACATTGACTCAATTAACTTTTCTTTGAAGAAAAACAAAGATCCAGTAAATTAATGAAAACATGGCCTGTCTTCTACCCTTTGCAGGAGGGAAAAAAAAATTCTGCCTGACCTTTCCGATGTTCCTGATGTTAACAAAGACAGCCATGGAGGGAACAAAAGGAAGTTCTCCACAGGTGAAGCTACAGGCTACAGTCTGCAGAGCCTCCTGTAGCAATGATGGTCTGGGTCCCAGCTGGACATGAGTAGGAACATGGCAGCTGTGCAGTTCAGAAAGTGCCCAGGGGGATTTAGACCGCAGAGCAGCCAACTCTGGTCTTGTGTCATGACAGTGCCCCTGAAAGGACCTGATGGAGAGGTTCCAGACACCAGGATGCTGTGTGTAACACAGCATTCCCATGCCACCCCTGGGCCTGCAGTGGGCACAATCCTTGTTCACAATTAGCTCCCACTGTTAATCTGGGTCCATTCACTACACACCAAACTAGTTCTCCCAATCTACCCCACAATCTCTCCCTTGTTGGGGACAATATGAAGAGACAAAACCTGAGGAGGTGAAAGGGAACGTGCAGCTGGGTATGTACCTCAAGAGTCACAGCTGTAACCTGTCTTCAAGAATGACTCGACTTTACAGCTAACATGGTACCTAGGAAATTGCTGACTGGAGGTGAGAATGTATGAATATCAAAGAATTTGCATCATAATATTCACAGATTTCCCAATAGGCTCTCCTAGGAGTTCAAGGAGGCCCTGTCAAGTATAGACAGCTCTGCCAGTCTCAGAAGGGAGGCACTGAACAAACCCATGGAAACCCCAGAGATCACAGATCTAACTTTTCAAAGGCCCACAGGACCAGGTTCAAGACAGGAAGGACACCAGGCAAGCTGCTTATTCCCTTGCACTTGTCCATCTAAGAGCTGGTCCTTCCCTCTGGCCAGTCCCTTCTAGTACAGGAACTGGGACCACAAACCAGGGATTCTTAGACTCCCAGACCCTAAAGATGGGGTCCTCTGACAGCTGTAACTAGGCAAAGAGGAACGAATCCCACCCCAGAGCAGCTTCTGGACACACTCCAGGTTAACATAAAAACAACTTGTACAAACCTAGCTCTTGAGTCAGAAGGCCAATGCCCTTGGAAGGGCCATGTTGAACTCTGACCTTCGTGTTCAGGAGAACACAGTGTCAGATATGGCCACGTGACCCTGGTCAGAGTTATATGACTTGAATACTGGATCAAAAGAAGGGATGAAGGTAAAGAAAATTTATTAGGGGAGAACAAATATATAAGGTAGCTCTCTTTACAAAACAAAAGGAAGCTCCATGCTGAACCAGCGTCTCCGAATCTGGAGGTCCACAAGCCTATCTCCATTCTGCTCACCTACCAAGAGTTCTGGCCTTGGTAGCCAGGTAAGCCTCACTTTCAAGACTAAAGATAAGCCCACAGAAGATCCTGCTCTGTATTGTGTCCTTGCTGCCCAGCTAAGGCAGGAGGTACGTGACTCCCTATGCTCTACACCTGTTGTGCAGGCCAATTCAGTTCCCCCTCATCTGTTGCTCAAGCTCTTCCCTTGGAACTCAGTTGTGGTCAAACATGATGCTGGAAAGCGGAGGCCACCCCTGTCCTCTGGCACAGACATTCTGAGGCTGGGTGGTAGGCAGCATCAAGTTACACTCTAAGTAAAATAGCTAGAGGGTAGAACACTCAAATGCCAATTTATTTTCAAAAGGGCTATGTTTTATCCTATGGTTTGCCTTTTTTTTTTAAATAATCGTACAACTTTGAAAATTACATAAGTTGTAATGATCTAATACTATTAATAGCCATTCAGAAAAAAACGTTCCCTCCCTCCCAACAACCATCCAGGGAGAATTTAAAAGTCCTTAGAAGAGGCTAATTCAACATGGCCTCTACCCTGGTAGAAACAAAAAAGCAAAAAGATGGAAGAAAACATCAACTAAGGTGTGTTGCCAGTGTCTCTCAGGAGTGGGGCCCTGGATGTTGCCTGGGGTCATGAAAGGCAGAGCCTGCAGCATGCAGTACGGCAGCCAGGAGCCCTCACAGCTACATCTTCCTCGCCCTGGCACATCCACAGCTCAGCTTAGGTGTCATGAAAATCCTTCAGCAGGGTTCTTCTCCGCTGCTCTGCTATGTGCATCTGGTTCTCCAAGTCCTATAAAAAAGGACACAAGATGGGTATTTGAATTCCCAATCCCAGGAACAAAGAGTAATCAAAGCCACAGCCATCAAGTCAGGGGCTCCACAGAGTCTAAAAGCACCGCCCTTTCCACCCATTCAAAGAAGCATCTCCGGGCCCACATCTTAACACTGTCACATAGTAACATGGCAATCCTCCCTTACCTGCAAGAGGACAGTGAGGATAGCAGGCACTTACCCCTCTGTCATAGCTGTCTGCACGTTCAACTTTCCATGAAAGGTTTTCAATCTCAGCCTCCAGCTGAGCCTGCTGGTATTCAAACTGTATGGGTAGAGCAAGAGGGTCAAAAGGAGAAGGGGCAGTAGAGGGCAGAGCCTGTAGATGGAGGGGCACATGCAGCACCTCAGGCTCTCCTGAGTTGCTGACAACCCTGACACTGTCTTCAGAGTGCACTTCTTTATGTCCAGAGCTGGAAAGCAACATAAAAACAAAGGGCTACCAGATGAGATGGCCAAATGGCAAAACCTCATCTGCCTCCCATCATCAAAGGAAAGTGAGAAACATAAAGCCACTGGAAAGGATATTCCCAAGATCTAGAGAAACAGATGCTGCACAAGCAAGTTAAAATGGATATTCTCAAGACACTGCACTCAACACTTTTGTTTTTGGTCTTTTTGAGACAGGGTCTCCTTTGTAGCCCCAGCTGACCTGGAACTTGATATGTAGACCAGGCTGGCCTCGAACTCACAGAGATCAGCCTGCCTCTGCCTCCCAAGTGCTGGGATTAAAGGCATGAGCCACTATACCTGGCAATACTTTCTACTTTTTTTCCAAGTCATTTGGCCAATCAAAAGTCTTAAGAATCAGGGATGTGTATGTGTTGGTAGAATGCCTGCCTAGTATGAACTAACCCCTGGTTTTGATTACAGCATAAACTGGGTATGGTGGCACACACGTCTCAGCATAGGAGGATCAGTTCAAGGTTATCTTTGTCTACTTGGAAACTTGGAGGCCAGCCTGGACTACATGGGACCCTATCTCCACAACTAACCAAGCAAACAAAAAGTGCCTTAAAACCCAAACCATTTGGTCTGGCGCATGCCTGTAATTCCAGTACTTGGAAGGCAGAGGCAGGACTACAAGTTCAAGGAAAGCCTGAGCTACATTTCTGAGACCCTATCTCAGAAAAAAAAACCTCAGTTCTTTAAATTAGTAACTATACACCTAAGGGAATAAAGCTTTATGCATAAAGATTTTCTTTAGTCTTATTTAGAATAGTGAAAATTGAAACAGTCATTGTCCCAAATGATGGTACATCCACATAATAAAGCATTTATGTAGCCATTTAAAAAAAAAAAAAAAGGCCAGCCTGGTCTACATAGTCAGTTCCAGGACAGTTGGGGATACAGGGATACCCTGTCTCAAGAAGACCAAAAAAAAAAGCTTGGAGTGGTGGTTATGTGCCTTTAATCCTAGAACTCCTAAGAGGCAGGTGAATCTCTGTGAGTTCCTAAGCTAGTCTGGTCTATATAGTAAGTTTCAGGTCAGCTAGTGTTACATAATGAGAGCCTGTCTTAAGTCTGGTAAATAGTAACAGCTGTAACAACTGTAACAATAATAAAAAAGATGGTATTGCTATGTAATCCAGGTTTTAGACTTAAACTCACAATCCTTCCACCCCTGGAGTACTGGGATCATACATATGTGCTTATTTTTCTTCCCTGGTGCTGGGGATGAGAACCAGGACCTTACATGCAAGGCAAGTGCTCTATCACTGAGCTATCACTACCATAACATAAGACTAAAAAATATTAACAGTGGTCTTTTTTTTTTTCCCTGCTAAGACAATGGGTGATATAAATTGCTATGTTTTCCAACATCTAAACAACAAACACGAACTACCTTATTATCAGCAGAAACAACCCATATCTAAGAGGAAGACTAAAGGGATAAAAAGGCAACTATAACATAGGGATGCACATGCTGAATATTCTTCCATGGTATGGCCAATGGCCACCCAAATGGTCAAAGGCCCTTTGAGCAAATTGTCCTTTCAATATCATTGTTCAGGGGCTCAGGTACATCAGGCTATTACACAAAATGATGGCATCCGAGGTTTATTTTGGAAATGCCCAGGGCAGAAATGGAATTTTACAATTAGAGACTTTTGTTTTTATTTTCTTTTCCCTATAACCTGGGTCAGGACTGATAATAACGGGTCCCTCTGAAGCTACAGAACACAGTAGAGGGACTGCTTTGCCTTACCAGCTTCTTCCTGGGGCCGGACTCCATGTAGTATGCATATGGGTAGGTGTATTGCAGGGTGTATCGACACTGAAATAGAGAGAAACAAGGGACCTATATCTAACTGACCCACACAGTAGGTGGCTCTTTCAGGTCATACCTCACCATGCAAATGGTGACTTTA